CCGTGAGCGGTGCCTTCTACTACTTTGGTAGAATCAACGGTCTCGAGGATGAGGAGATCGGTAGGACATAGAATAATAAAAATAGAATTTAAAAAAATGTCACTTGTTGCACGAAAAACATTATACGTGTTTCGAGAGGTTTCGTTTTTACCAAATACTTTTGAATAAACGTCTTTTAATTAAACGTAACATCAGATTTTGTTTTAAATTATTCGTATATACATAATGTAGTACTTGTATATGTTGTATATGCCAAATATTTTAAAGCGTGAGTTAATATGAACGACTACAACTTTTCTATATTATTTCCAAGATACAAGACTGATATTTTTCTCGGAGTTGCTTCAACTGCCTCCATATAATCATCTGGTGAAGAACATGAGTGGAGGGGAGCAAAGAAGGGTTTCTCTTGCCGCCGCGTTGATCCACAATCCCGAACTTTTAATCCTCGACGAACCCACTGTGGGCTTGGATTCAATTTTGAGAGAGAAGCAAGTAGATTATGCTTTTCTTTTAGATAGAATAAAGAATAATAATACGAAAATGTTTTTAAGTATTTTTTATGCGTAGAATTTGGTCCTATATGATCCAGATTACTCAGGAGGAAAATATTACAGTGCTGATTACGACACACTACATTGAAGAAACTAAATATGCTAATAAAGTACGTCTTGCTTCCATTAAAATAACTGTAACAATATTAATGAAATAAAATTACTAGGAGATACCTTTTAAACTTTTAAACATTATTTCATGTAAAAAATATTTTTTATCGATTATGCAAATTTGATGTTTTTCATCTTTATTTTGTAACATAGATTGGTTTGATGAGATGTGGTAAATTGATAGCGGAATCAAAGCCGCAGAAACTGCTGGAGCGATTTCAATGTTCGTTCTTAGAAGAAGCCTACCTGAAGTTATGCAATATCCAAAATAATACAGTCACTTTAAATGAAGCTCAGGAATCTGAAGTAGAAGACACCTGCAATGTCTTGTACCAGGATCAAAATCAACGTGAATTAATAGAAGTATATATGTAGAAATAATCTATGCCCTAATCATTGTTACAAAAGCTGTATAACTAATATTGTTTTTAATATAAATAAATTGAATCTTTAAGGCCATCTCAAAGTTCCAAGCGGTTTCGGAACGTCAAGTTTCGCGACTGAAAAGGTTCAAAGCTCTGTTGACGAAGAATGGCACGCAATTTTTGCGTCATTATGAGTAAATACATATATTTATATTTAATTCTCCTAGGTGACGTATGTATATTTATATAAGACATAAAATATAGAGAATATAAAGTATACAAGGTATATTTACCGAGAAAATAAAGAATTTTTACTATTTTAATTTTAAAGTTTGGTATTTGTTGTATTACTTTAAAAAAATTTAATTCTTTCACTTTTAGCATATGTCGTTATAGTAGTAAATAATAGATGAGACCCATTCTTTCAGAGGACTATTTTTTGCAGTAGTATTTCCGATATTTCAATTGTGCGCATTTATATTAGCAACTGATGGTAGTCTGAAGGATTTGAAGATTGGCGTCGTCAACGACGAAGTCGATAACTGTAGTTTTGTCGGTAACTTTGGCAATGTTTGGAAGGATGAAATCACTTGTCATTTTGGCAATCTTAGTTGCAGATTTCTGCATGACTTTAGCAACTCTATCGCTATACAGGTACAGCAATATAAAAATTGATAATTTGTAATGGGCATGCACATAATTAAAATAATTTCATGTTTCCATAAGAGACGGCTTTTTTGCTTACAAATTGATTGTTTACTTTACAGTAACATTTCCACTTCCAAACTTAGTAACTCGAAAGGTATATAATAAAAATATATTTTATTCTAGCGTTTTAGGACGCTCTCAAGTTAAGATAC